TGCGCCACCGGGGGCTTCACTGATGGAAAATGTTTTGAATGTTTTTATAATTTTGTGTAACACTATTCACAATGATGTTGAAAACAAAAAAAAAGGCAAAAAAGAAAAGAAACAACCAGAGATTGTGGGATGGGCTTTGAAGGAGATGACAGAATGTGATATTCAATGAAATATCCTCTTGTACCTAGATATCCAGCTTCAAAGGGCTGGAATATGCTCCACAAGCATTTCAGTGGCAGTGGATTGGGACTCCTGGGATATATCTATTTTGGATACAAGCTACCATTTCACTTTCAACTCTGTTGTCAGCTGAGGACAAAGGGAAGAAAGTGGATAGAGGAGAAAGAAACTGTGATATGTGGGAAAATGGGACAAGAAAGGAATCAGGACCCTATCTGCCGGTTTGGGATAGATGAAGGGTGTGAATTTTGCCTACCCTCAACCCTTGTGCTCATTTGGATAGAGAACCGTTGCTGAAGAATGCAGGCTAATGGCTGATGGAACTGGCCCCAGTTCCTCTCCTTGAAAGTAATTGTTGTATCCAGGTTGTTTTGAAAATGCCTCTGTCAAATTCTACTGTAGCATCTCTGAGATGAAGAGATCTGGCTCTCTTAGCTGCTTTCTAAAAGATAATGGTTATTACCCAAGTATCCTTACCATAGAGAAAGCCACGTTTTAGTTCTCAAGTGTGTGTGCTTGTAAAAGAGAGACAGAAAGTTAAGCTGTCCAATGGAGCTGGATTTTTCATTCTAGAATGGCATCTAGTCATATGAAATATAATAATAATAATAATAATAATAATAATAATAATAATAACAACAACACTTTATTTGTACCCCGCTACCATCTCCCCAAGGGACTCGGTGCGGCTTACATGAGGCCGAGCCCAAACACAACAATACTAGCAATTAAAAACACATAGACAATAAGAAACAACGTTATCAATAAAACAACAAATAGTTAAAAACAGTGGGAAGGCCAAATGTTAAGTTAAAATTGGAAATAATGCTGGGACATGAACAGAAGGTGATACTGGTGTTTGTGGAAGGGCATACGAGCAGACCTAAATAAATGTAAAGTGCTTTGGAGGACAAAATGCTATGGGGTCATTATTCTGGGAAGGCACAGTGGAACAACCACGTCTTCAAGTTCCTCCTGAAGACTGCCAAAGTTGGAGCCTGTCTGATGTCTTTAGGGAGTGAGTTCCAGAGTTGAGGGGCCACCACCGAAAAGGCCCTCTCTCTCATCCCCACCAATCGCGCCTGCGAAGCTGGTGGGATCGGGAGCAGGGCCTCCCCGAATGATCGAAGGGGTCGTGTGGGTTTGTATACAGAGATGTGATCACGCAGGTAGGCGGGTCCCAAACCTTTATATAGCTTATTTTTCAACATAAACAATTACTCTAGAACGAGGAGGGGCTCTACATATTTGCAGATTGCTTTTGATCATTTACTTGCATTCCTTTGCTGCTCTAAGGAATGTGGAACTATCTCTTAAGTGTTGGGCATGGAGAATATGGCATTTGTGCCTATAATTATAGATATAGACATTCTTCAGTTAAATAATTTGTATTGGGAGTGGGTGGGTTGGCATGGTTGTTTGCTTAACTAGTTGAAAGCAGCTTGTTCCTCTTATGCACTTTATCATCTCCCTCAAAGCTAGGTTCCAAGGTAAACAAATGAAAACCTGACTCTCGGGACATTAAGCCGTAGGTGAAAGGCAGGACTGTGCACTCCCCCCACAGCACAAATCCCAATTCTTTGTTGTGGAATAAGGAAAGCAAATGAAGAAAGGGTATGCTAATCTCCCTGGAGACAGTCTTTCTCGGCCTCACCTCTGAAGTTTCAGTTCTTTGCTCTGTCTGTCAGCTACATGCAATGTATGAAAGCAGGAAGAAAAATTCAGTAACAAGATCCAGACAGTGTCTTCCAACATCAACTTGGCTGCAGAAACTATTTGAGGATAATTGGCTCATTACCACCGAGAGTGGTGTTTTTTTTTTAAAGCAAGGCTTGTTATTTATAAAAGTCTCAGAGACTCAGGTAGATGGAGGGAGAGATTCTTTCTATATTAAGTATGATATGATGTAAGGGAGCTCTCTGTAAGAAACAGCTGTCTGAAGTATTGTGTCTGAAAGAACACAGGGCTGGCTCTGCCATTAATCAGAGTGAGGCAAGCACCTTATGCAGTAAATTTCATGTTGTTATGAAAAGGTAGCTCAGGGTTAGTTATTACTCTGTTATTATTGTGGGGTGGTTTTTTTTCAGACAGAAAGAGAAATACTTGTTTTTTTTCTGTCTCGGGTGCCAAAACAATATGGTTAGTCTCGGCCCTACACCCAAGGGATAAAATTTGCTGTTTTACCCTAGAGAGCAAAATGTTTTGAACCAGCTGTGGATGAATGTAGCATTAATTCCCATAAGGAGGATCCTTGAATTACATGCCTTCACCAGTTTGCTGTGGATTAATGCCTTAAAAGTGGTCATTGGCTATGAATTCTAAATTGCTCTCCCTAAATTCCAAAGCTTAGAATTTCATAGGAGGCTATCATGGCCATCAAAGAGTACCTTCGTGCAGAAAGGCCCTGGATCTCCAAAACTTATGCTACATCTCTCATTTATTCTCAAAGGTGCCACAAGATCCCTTTGTATACTGATAATGGACTAACATAGCTTTGCTTTTAAATATGACTGGGCTGATAATTTATACAAATCAAACCCAATGCCTAACCAAAAACTACAAGCACTGGCCTAATCATTTAGCATCCCTATAATATTCCCAGGAAAGCAAAACTGTACTATGCCCATCCAAGTGGTGTCTATAAAGTTGGTGTCAAGCTAAGCTTCCATTTGAACATGAGGAAGAACTTCCTGACTGTGAGAGCCGTTCAGCAGTGGAACTCTCTGCCCTGGAGTGTGGAGGAGGCTCCCTCTTTGGAAGCTTTTAAACAGAGGCTGGATGGCCATCTGTCAGGGGTGCTTTGATTCCAATATTCCTGCTTCTTGGCAGGGGGTTGGACTGGATGTCCCATGAGGTGTCTTCCAACTCTGTGATTCTAAGATTGTGGGATTCTAAGCTGATCTCTTTTATTCAATAGAATTACAAGCTGGGTAGATGCAGGGAATGCCATGGATGTAGAGTAGCTGGATTTCAGAAGGCCTTAAACAAGGTCCCCCACAATCAAATGTGGGCCAGGCAAAATTACAGTTATGTGGATCTGTAACTGGTTAAGTGAACGAACCCAAAAGGTGCTCACCAATGCTTCCTCTTCATCCAGGAAAGAAGTGATGAGTGGAGGGTTAGAAGGCTTGATCATCAAGTTTGCGGATGACACCAAATTGGGAGGGATAGCCAATACTCCAGAAGACAGGAGCAAACTTCAAAACCATTTTAAGAGATTAGAGAGATGGGCCAAAACCAACAAAATGAAGTTCAGCAAGGACAAATGCAAGATACTCCACCTAGGCAGAAAAAAATAAATGCAAAGATACAGATTGGAGGATTCCTGGCTCGATAGCAGTGCATGTGAAAAAGATTTGTCCTCATGGACAACAAGTCAAGCCATGTGGACAGTGGACTGATTTGTATTAGAGAAAGTCAAGCTGTCCATACTAAATATGTAGTGTAGGAGAGAACCAGAGTTTTGCTGAAACTCTGAACCATTCTCTGACTTCTGATAATGTGAGATAGAACCAAGTTAACAGGAGTTACCCCATGTTATGGACTGGAAGTCGCTGGACTTCTTCTGCATGCCCAGGTTTGACTTGTGGTAGAACTTGGAGTTTGAGGCAGAGTAAACAGTCCCTAAGAAGTCTTTTTAAAAAGAAATCTATTGTTTAAAGAAAAGAGGAGAATGTCAAAGATTAGGTACTCTACTATACAAGGAATGAGTGCCGCTCACTCAAGTAAAGGACAAAATTCCAGTAAACATAATGTGTAAGATTTAACATTTTAGAAGGAACCCAGAAGTTCAACGGGGTGGAGAAAGTGTTTCCATTAAATGTAAACAAGAAACACTTTGACATTTGACCCACTTTCCAGCCTGCAGAATCTCTCTTCAAAGCATTAAACATACATTTTAATAGTCTAACTCTTTCTCATTACTGCTTTGGCATATGAATATTAAGGTAAAGTGAAGTGTAAATACTTTGAACTTTTACAGAGACCAGGATAACGCTGTATAGCTTATGGTGAATGCTGGTGGGAGGCCTTTTAAATTCACAATTTCCCTCTTGGCAACTTATTGAAACAATTCCAGAAATTGAAAATGACCTGGGAAATATTCCAGTTGGTTTAGGGTTCATTTCTTCAGTTCATTTATCTTCACTCAATAAAGAACGTATGATTGTTTCTTGAGAGCGAGCACCTAATGAGGATACTTAATTTATTGAATGACAGATGCTGGAGCTTAGCCCAGTCTAACAACTATTCCCTTTAACTCTAAAGCCACATCCACAAAACTCCTCCCCACCTCAGGTACATAGGAAAGGCTTGTAGAGAGTCTCAAAATGGTGTTGGCAGCAATTCAGACATTTCTCTTAGGGAGGGATTTTCTAAACCAGAGTACTGCATTGCTAACTTTTCTAAACCAGAGTATTGCATTGCTATCAGTAGCAACATATGTCTGCTCCACTCTAGATGATCCACAAAGCCCCACTGGAAGTTCATGAGATGGGAGCCAGTAGGCTCCTTGGATCATCTAGGGATCAACTGGCATATGTCTTTAGAAAAAACACAATCTGATAAAGTTGTTAGTGTAGAAAGCAAAGTTGTGCAACTCATGACTCAATGCTGTGCAGCTCACAAAAATTCTGTTATCAAATACTCCAAAAGTTCTTCAGCTTGGAATGTAAAAATAAAATTTATCAAGATTCTGTACATAAGCATCCAGAAGACTAGGCTTTTGCTACATTTAACTTCTTTGTAGTTCCATGCACACAAAAATCAATCTTTCACTCAAAGCTTTTGATCTAGCTGAAACTCTTAGAGTTGTAACTTACAAAGTGAAGGATGTAGACAGAGTTTCTTTCATGGAAAACCCCTTATTCATACCGAAAGTCTTTGATTGCTGTGAAACTATCTGCACTACAAAGTCTGTAGCTCTGTGGAATTACAATGTTCTTTAATGTTTACTTTCCTTCAGTGAAGGTCTCACTGATTGCTGTGAACCGACTGACCAACCAACTAATCAGCTTTTTGCTGTCTCTCTCGATTGTTTATTTGCAAGCATTTTATGTGTTTGCTAATACCTGCTTCCAAATCTAAAAGCTTCCTCTTTGTATATTTGCTTTAAAAAAAGAAAGGGTGGTCCTTGGCAATCGCAAAAACCCTCTGCCATAACTAGTGTTAAGAATTATAAATGTAGGTGACAATGTTAAATTAGGACATAATTGAAGTTCAATTTTGTTAGAAATCACTCCAGATTAGGAGTGACATCACAGGGCTATATGGCCATGTTCTTAAAGCATTGCCTCCTGATGTTTCGCCTGCATCTATAGAAAGCATCCTCAGAGGTTGTGAGGACCTCACAACCTCTGAGGACGCCTGCCATAGATGTGGGAGAAACATCAGGAGAGAATGCTTCTAGAACATGGCCATATAGCCCAAAAAACCTACAACAACCCAGTGATTCCAGCCATGAAAGCCTTGGACAATACATCTAGCCAGGCATGGGGGGGGGGGGCTTGAGGGGCTTCAGCCCCCCCCCCAAATTCTCATGGTGGTCCGTGAGAAGGCCTTACTGGTACATTATTTAAACTGTTATATTTATTCATATCATGATCTGATCACCATGCTCAATATATCCCATATGCATGGGGGTATTGGGGTAACAATACAAATGGTTTGCTAGGGTAGAGCCTCTTTCACTCAGACTCAGCGCCCCCCCCCAAATCAAACTCAGCCCCTCCCGAATCAAAATCCTGGTTATGGGTCTGCATCTAGTTTTGCTGATTCGTGCTTAGATATTCAATTTCAGGGATTGGATGCTCTTTCTATTCAACTATGAAAGTGTAAGAACTGAGTTGCCACTTCCTTTTTTCTGTAGGGCTCCCCATTTTTTAAAAAAATCTACACATCAGGCAGGAATAGTATGACTCTTTCCATGCTAAGGAGAGCTGAACATTAAATTTGGACAGTGGTATAGATTTCTGTGAATTTCCTTTCTGTTTGATTTTGATACAAATTTATCAATATTTTTTTAAATGCTCATTTTCAGGAGTTTTGAGATTTTTTTTTGAAAGCATACATTTAAAAATGAGAAGAATAATTGACAAATTCCAAACATCATCAAGAGTATTCCAATATCATGAGCCATGAAGGAACTCCTTATTAAACAGATAAATGTTCTTTCCTTCCCTCTGAAATATTTGCCAAAGCATCTTATAATCAAGCCATTCCAAAATGGCAGTGAAAGGAGCAGGCCTGTGGGTAAAGCACATTAGACACACTCCAAAGATTTACACTCTCTAGCTTTGGGATGGATCGAAAAGCACTAATGTTTTCTAGGTTCCTGTTTTTCTGAATCCTTGATGAGCATGAATTACACTGTTTTCAGGGGTGCGAAATACATTATGGGTAGAATTGATGTTGGAGCCGCGGTGACGCAACGGGTTAAACCAGTGATTCTCAACCTGTGGGTCCCCAGGTGTTTTGGCCTACAACTCCCAAAAATCCCAGCTAGTTTACCAGCTGTTAGTATTTCTGGGAGCCGAAGGCCAAAACATCTGGGAACCCACAGGTTGAAAACCACGGGGTTAAACCCTTTTGTCATCTGAACTGCTGACCTGAAGGTTGGTGGTTCAAATTTGTGAGACAGGATGAGCTCCCATCTGTCAACTCCAACTTCCCATGCAGGGACATGAGAGAACCCAAACACTGGATGGTAACACATATGGGCATCCCCTGGGCAATGTCTCTGCAGTGAGAGACAAACTCACACCAGAAGCGGATTGCAGTTTTTAAAGTCACTTTTAAAAAACCATTGATGTTAAATATCGACCCCCGCCTCCTAGGTCAAATTATCAATAAAAATATAGTTGAAGCCACGCTGGGAAGAATTGCTTTCTTCTTCAACTGGTGAGATCTACTGATGGGGGAATATTGGATTTATAACTTCTCAGTCTCACCAGGCATGGATCCACAGGTGACCCGCTTAACAAGACTTGGTATCTATGCTCCAGGGTTCCACTATCCGCACTCTGGATCTCACTATCCATGACCCCTTAAATCTGCCCTATTTCACCATCATTGTATCTGTTGGGCAGTGCACATGTCTAGATGTTTTACATTGCAGTGCTCTGTCCTTTTTCACAATTAACACACTTGAACACTATTTGGGAGATATCGAAGTGAATCCGAGTGGAGATATTGGAGTCAATCTTTCACTTTCACCCTACAGGCGTGAGAGAAGAAGGCCTCAGCTTTCTCTCTCTGGGAGAGCAGTCTGCCTTCTCATCAAACCCCATCATAAAGTCTCCTCCTCCTCCTCTTTTTCTTTAATCAGCCTTTCTGCTAAGTACCTTTGTGTGATCTGACCTACTTTCAAATACTTTCTTCCCCGACAGTCACACAATTGTATCTATCTATGCAAATCACTTGGAATAAAGATAGGTTTGAAAGAGAATGCTTTCAAGACATCTTGGTAATGGATGCAGCAAGAATATCTTGGCCATATATTCAGAGAGCCGATTTGCATTTTTATGAGCCGAACTGATTAATCTGACCAGAGCAGTAACATCAGCTTAATGCTCTTGACAGGCAGGAGTGTCCCTAAGAAAGAAATCACTCTGCTTGGATATAGGACAGCTTTGTTGGCCATTCCTCTTTTATTGCCAGCTTATAACAAAAGGAGAGATTGCTACATGGTCATGATTTGAGCTAATCTATGCATCTGCTCCACTTTCTCCTTTGATAAATATTTTCTAGTTAGATCTATAAACATTTCATGAAGAGCAGTGAGGTGGAGTGTATTATCCTACCAGTGATGTAGAAATATAATTCGGAGTGCAAAACTCATGATAACAGTGCTCTTAGCCAGCTTCCTGCCCCCACCAAAAAATCAAGCAATTATGTTAATTTGTATCAACAAGCCAATTGTACTAAGATTTTTTTGTACAGTGATTAGTTCATAAATGGCTATTTAATACCAAGATTCAAATATTTTTACTACAACCAGTGGGATCACTAAGGACCTCATCACATTGAGGTTCTGAAACTTGGCAACAGCAGGGGAATCTGTGGGGCTGCATGACACATCTATGGGGAAGTGGAGGAAACGATCGCTCCGCACACCACATGACCCACATTGCCCTCTTTCCCATCACATGGGGGAAGCTGTCACTGCCTGGCTTACTCAATCAGAACACAAGCAGTCACCCATGTTCTGAAGTCTTCCTCCCAGCATGCTTCAAACATGGAGCCATCATGTGATGGGCTCTGGCAGGCTCTATGCCAGTTCCGTGTTGGAAGTGTCCTGTGATGGGACAAAAGCCCCATGTGATGAGGTCCCCAGGCTGATGTCATTCAGTGGAGTAACTCATAGTCTCACCCCCATGGACTTCCCTTGTACTGGACCATGCCACAATATTGTAGGTAAAATATCAGAAAAAAAATAAACTTAGCATTTTTTTAAAGACCACATGCAGATGAAGCCATGTGATTTGAAGCAATTTGGAATTTAATAATAATAATAATAATAATAACAACAACAACAACAACAATAGCGTGAATGCACTCTAGAAGATTTAAAACAGTGTTTCATTTTGTAGGTATATCGATACAGTATACATAAACTGGGCTTACAGAAATGTTTTTCTGGTGATATTTAAGTGCAGGTAAAAAAAATGGAAAAAAATAAGTTTCATATTAATACATAAAAATAGACACTAGACCACTGGTTCTCAACCTGTGGGTCCCCAAATGTTTTGGCCTACAACTCCCAGAAATTCCAGCCAGTTTACCAGCTGTTAGGATTTCTGGGAGTTGAAGGCCAAAGCATCTGGGGACCCACAGGTTGAGAACATCTGCATTAGACAGTCATTTTACTGTCACCCCTCTGATGGAGTTCCATGATATGGTTCTTTAATACCTCCCCCCCCCCCCAACCCTGCATTGATGGCAATGACTATAACTGGGATAGTTCATAACTGAAATAACTCACAATAATTCCAGCATTATGAGGATTCAACTAAGGTCAGAGGGGAAGGGCAACGCAAGATGACATCATTATTCTTGTTTATATAAAACAAATATGGGGGAAATTCATCTAGATGAAATATCTCATTTCTGTGATATTTGATCTAGATAAATTTAACCAGAGCTCTGCAATTTCCATTTCTAATTATTATAATTGTTACACTGGCACTCCCATAATTGAAATAATAATAATAATAATAATAATAATAATAATAATGCAGATGAAAATGATATATCACATCCTCAGTGGCAAGGTCGTGCAGACAGACTGCAAGCAGAGATATAATACTGTTGCTCAAATGATTCATTGGAACTTGTGCCACAAATACTGACAAAGAACTGGTGGGATAGCAAGCCTGAAAAGGTTACAGAAAATGAACACATCAAACTATTCTGGGACTTCTGAATTCAGACTGAGTGAGTTTTGGAGTACAATACTCCTGACCTCATGATCGTGTTAAAAAACAAAGTATGGATCGTCGATGTTGCAATCCAAGGCAACAGCAGGATTGAAGAGAAACAACTGGAAAAGCTGATACAATAGGAGGATATAAAGATAGAACTGCAAAGACTCTGGCACAAGCCAGTCAAGGTGGTCCCAGGGGTGATCGGCACACTGGGTGCAGTGCCTAAAGACCTTGGCTTGCACTTAAGTACAATTGGCGTTGACAAAATTACCATCTGTCAGCTGCAAAAAGACCACCCTACTTGGATCTGCACACATTATTTGCCGATACCTCACACAGTCCTAGACATTTGGGGAGTGTCTGGCGTGTGATCTAAAGTTGACCAAAAACTGATTTGTAACCCTTTGGTGATCTTTGGTTAAAGTGGTCCCTGGTCAAAGTGGTCCCTTCTCAGTCTTTTGCCTAAGATGAAGTGAAGTGGTCCGTGGTCAAAAAAAGAAAGGAAGGA